CATGTCACCAGGAAGTTCAAATAAAGGCGAAAAGGGCAAAGCAGTGCCCAGCCTCTCTTTCACCCCTTTCATAGGAAATAAAAGCATTTWGAGACATCCCTGCAACTCTTTCCCTGAGGTCTCATTGTTCTGGGCAGTCAAATGACATTTTTAGTTGGGCATATTGCTGCCATTTGTTTAACAAGGAAGGAGAGAATGAATATTGAGCAGCAAAACCAGTGTCTGCCCTGGCTGCTCCCAGCAAATGTGGATTGCCCTGTGAATGGGAATAACAGGAGGACTTCTTTATACCTTCTCATGTTAGAATAAAGCATTATTTGTCATTCAGGTAATTTCTAGTTTATTGGGAATTTTTTGTTTCTTTTTAGTCCTTGAAACAAACAAACAAACAAACAAACAAACAAAAAATTTGCCTTTAGATTTACTCCCACCTGAGTAAAATTTTTCATTGAAAACTTGGAATAAATCAGAAGACATTCATGCTGCCTGATAGAGTAAGTGGCTCACAGTACTTGAAAATAGAAAGTCAGGGATTGATTTTAGATAAGCCTAAAATAGAATAAAATAGTGATTATTCACAGCTAAGAATCTACCAAAATGATGGTTATAGGTATTGTTATCATTTATTCAAATACACACTGAATATCTACCATGTGCCAATCACTGCTTTTGCAGGTGCTTGGGATACATAAACAAGATAGATGAGGCAGACATCCTCATTCTACTTCAGGGAAACAGATGACATGCCCACAAATTAGCATAATCTCAGGGAAAGTGGTAAAAAAAAAAAAAGAAGGCAAAAAATGGTAAGAAGTTCGGGGATGGTCTCTGAAGAAATAATTTTGAGACGAGAACATTTTTTTACTACAGACCTAATTCTCTAAATGTCCAAATTATAAGTAAGATATTCTCAGCAAAAATGTGATTATTATTTTTTTTAAAAAAAAAACATTACTTTGCTCATAACCTTTATCTTAATGGCAGTAATGTGAACTGTTGTAGAATTTACCAATTCCTTTTCCCTAGTTTATGGTTCTTGATTTAACTCACCGTTGAATCAACTCATTATACTTCATCATTCAGAATTAACGAGGAAATGGTTTGGCTCTCCTCATTTTTAGTTCATATTGTCTTTGAATCCTGCTTTGTTATGTCCCTTGCTGAGGTTTTTAATGTGATGGCTCCTGTTCCAGTGTGGAGGTCAGACCTCTCCTCCCAGCTTTAATAAGAGTAGAATTGTGGGACCCATCAGGGATCTGGAGATAAATATTGYAAATATCATGTTAATCCTTAATTTAATCAAGTTTATTAAAATAGTACTGAGCATAATATTAAGTAGCGWTCACTGTGTGTGGAATATTGTCTACAGAATTGTATCTGGGCTGACTGATGGGAGTATTTGGTTGGTTGATTAGCTATGGGTTTAAAATTTTAAACTTTTATGTTGGTGTCGTGGCAGCATGTCATGAGATGCAGAAAAGTCTACCTGTTGAACCTGTACTTCTTTCATTTCTTTCATTTCATTTCATTTCATTTCATTTCTTTCATTTACTGTAACACAGCATATTTCCTAATTTGGGACATCTATTCCTCTGATTGATTTAAAATTTGTTTTTAAGCTGTTTCCAAAAACTGCCTCTGGATAAAAGCAACTCTTTATTTTTCTCTATCCCTCAAGGTGTTTCACAAAGTCATAAGAGCATAAGTGTCTCAGATATACTTTCTTATTGTTCAGTAAATGTAATGAATTATATTTAAGAATTAAATATTTTTCTGCTATCACCATACGTTGGGAGCTAACTTTAGTTGAGACTTTCATGTAGCATAATCAGACTATAATGGTAATTTCTGGTTTATATTGAGCCTCTCTTCTAGCCTATGAGCACCACAAGGGAACAACTGGGGAATATTCCCCTATGCATTCAGTAAGCACTCACTGAACACTAATTATGTGTTAGACTAGATAATGATGACACACAGTGAAGTAGATTCTGGCTTGCAATTTACAATCTAATAAGAGAGATAGGCATTAAACAAATACTCATTTAATTTGTGGTTGAGGTAAATGCTGTATAAAATGAGGACCTAACCGCTTCTTTRAAGTTTGCTTGAGGAAGTGAAATATAAGCTGTGACTGTATAGGTAACTAGAGTTACCCAAGGTAACAATTGGACACTCATTCCACCATGTAAATGCCCTGACTTATAAAAGAACTTGCAGGCTCAAGGAACCAGTATGAATGAAGAATGTTGAATAAGGAGAAAAATCCAGTTAAATCCAGTTAGCTATCCATAAGAACCAGATCTAGGGACTTAGTTCTAACTGCAATGAGAAGTCATTTAAAGGTGCTAAGATTCGATTTGCAGTTTGAAAGTATCACTGTGTGCAAGATCAGAAATAGATTGGGATGAGAGAGCTAGTGAAGATTTCCATGCAGATGATGATGACATGGATTAGATCAATAGTGGTGATGAAGATACATTAGCAAGTTAAGGAGATATTTAAGAGAATAGAGTTTGAGTGACAGTTGAGATGCTGTGAACTGAAAAAGAGGAATGTCAGGTACCTAGGGTTTCTGGTATGGATTGTATTGCAATTTATTGAACTCAGCAGCTAGAGGGAAAAAAAGGTTGGGGGCAAGCTTATGAATTCAGTTTGGACATRTCACATTTGAAATGACTTAAGAGATCCCAGGGGGCATGTCAGATGGAACTTAGAAAAAGATATTTGGACTATGGTGTGTGAACATCTATGGAATACAGTTAGGAAATGAAGCTTTGGAATGGATGACTTAAGAGCAAACCGTGAGGAAGTTTTCTGAGATTTTAAAGTTAAATAGAGGAGGAAAACCTGGCAAAGGAAATTACCAAAGAATGTTTATATGCGGAAGGGAAACTGTCAGAATGTGTTGTCACCAAAGTCGGTGGACAGTAACAATTCACAAAGGAGATGGCTCCCAGGACATCATGTATGATACATACTCAGCAGCACAGAGGCTTGGAGTGTAGAGGTCATTGGTGATCATGGAAATAAATCCATGTGTATGAGAAGTGAGGTGAAGAAATAGAGATTATTCCTTCAAGAATTTTGACTMAGGGGCAAGAGTCAATAGCAACTCTTAGAGAATTATGAGATCCTGTGTTTTGGGGGTTTTGGGTCATTTTTTAAAATAAGGCATGAAACAGGAATATATTTAAGTGTTGGTCAATTAATCAAAATGACAGCCTAAAGATCCAGGAGAATGGGAAGGCAATGCGATCCAAACATTAATGGGGAGGTGTTTGCTTTGTAGAAGGGAAAATTCCTCCTACATTTCAATGGACAGGAAGAGAGAAATGAGGGCTCTGGGTAGGAGAGGACAAAGCCCCTGTCTGCTGCCTCCTGTTTTCTCAGTTTGCAGCAAGCAAACTGCCAATGGGAGGTGGTTAGTGGGAGATTTGGAGATTAGTGTATTTTAAACAACTAGTCAGTACTATGTGCAATTTTTTCCCAGGAGAACTGTACAAAACACAGGGTTCAGKTGATCCATCACAATTGACTCCCCCTAACACAGCCAGGTGTGATTAAAAAGTCAGAGGGGCAGAGGAATTTAAATTCCTTGCAATAGAGAGTCAAAGAATGGTTGATAGAATTTAAATTAGAAGAGAATAGAAGGGAAATTAGTGCCCTGGAAATTCCATCCATGTTAAAAACATCATCAGAGTTTGGGCATGTGAGTAGCAGTGTAGAAGGACATAACTTGTAATGAGATGGGGTATTGGTTCAGAGAGTTTAGAAATAGGGATATTTGTGGTGATTACAGGACTCAGAACATRTTATTTGTGTGTGTGACCTGATGGATTCAGGGAGAGACCACTGGAGATGAGCAGGTTCGTGATGGGGTGACATGGTGGATGGGATGCCTGTGAGGCTGATGAGCTYACCTGAGCTGATGTTTGAAGAGGGGGCATAGTAGGAACAAGGTAACATGGTGCCAGAGTCTTGCCTGAGTGGCTTGGGATGACCCAAACAGATGGATGAGAGCAGAAGCAGATGGTGGAGTCCTTATCACCAGCCTTGGAAGAACAGGAGTCTTAGAAGTGAGGTTCAGGAGAGGCACTGGATGGAAAAGAGCATATTTTTTGAAGAAAATGAAGGGGTTTTCTTGAAGAAGATTGTGGCTGCAGTGAGCCAACAGCTGGATGAGAGTAGAGCTGGGAGATGGAGAAAATAACTCAACAAAGAAACAGTTTGTTGAGGAGGAAGGGAGGTATGGGGTTGTCAGGCCTACAAGGTAAGGGGTGGAACATTTCAAAAGTTGATATTGGTGTGTGTGGTGTGTGTGTGTGTGTGTGTGTGTGTGTGTGTGTGCGTGTGTGTGTTTGGGGATGGGGGAAGAGTGAGGAAAATCATATCATTGAACAGGGCTTGGGGGTTTTTAATCCTATTAACCTTTAGGGGTAGATGGCCTCTTGAGATTGTCAGAATTCATCTCTGGCCTGGAGTGGTTGGAGAACAGTGCTATTGTGTAGGGTAGTGTAGAGTAGTGTGGCTTGGGGTGGGGGTGCAGTGTGATGTCAGTCCTTTCTCAGTTGAGCTTTGACTGCCACTTGGGTTAGGCCTTGGTCTTGAGTCAGCCACCCATGGCCAGTTTGCCTGTGGGCTGTCGTGTGTTCCCATCTCAGCTTGTGGCTATATTCCCTTTGCTATAATTAATATCTATATCTGTATAATTAATATCTGAAAGAATAAGTGAATGTCCTCACATCCATTTGTTTCAATTTCTTCAATGCTGATTCATTTTCTCCTTTAATATTAATTTTGTTGTGAGTATTATTTATTATACCATGGTGTTTTCTGCTAAATCAATTTATAAAATATCAAGTACTCAATAAGTGGGTTTTTTTTGGTGATAGTTTGTTTTTAATTTGTAAAGTATCAATTAACATCATGTACATATTTTAGTCTCTCAAGTTCTTTAATGAGGGTGTTTTTAAGGTATGTTCTTTTACTTCCTGAAGGAGCAAATGATGTGAAAATCCTTCCAGGTCAAGCTGTTTGTCCTACACCTGGGTGCCGAGGAATAGGCCATATCCGTGGTCCACGTTATTCAGGACATCACAGGTAAAATTTTTTCTTACTTAAATTATTTTAGGGATGAATGAGAATATTATGCAGATTGGATACTTCATGTAGCATCATAAATGAATCTCCTGAATGCAGCTTCCCCCATCCTACTCCCTTCTCTGTAACTAAGGCCCATCTTTCCTGTTATCTGCCTTCTTATGCCCTTCTAGAGTCTTCTTGGACTCCTGAAGTATTTCCCAGATTTACATCACATCCCTGAATCTCTGCTCTCTGGTGGTTTTCCTAGTAACTGCATATGCTCTGATACACTCACCTCCCTACATCCCACACAGGTTCTGAATCATCTCCATACCCCTCTGAGACTAGTTTTCTTCCAGAGAATTCTAGAGTCTCTTGTTTTTTCCCCTCGTTTTCACCTTACCTCTGTTGCTTTTTCTCTCTTACTCATTTGGAGAAGAGCTAAATCTGTGAAAGAATAGAAAGTAAGTGTGAAGTTTATGTCTATGTTTTAAATATTTTAATATAACATGGAGCAGATGGTTCTTATAAGAGAAAATAAATACAGGTAAATACGCAAGTCTTTACTACTTTTTCTGTCCTCATCAATTGGTAAAATGATGCATAGACACATTATTCATATTGACGATCCAGTAACAGAATGGCTTTTCATCACAATGACCAAAATATCTGACAAGAAAAATTTAGAGGAGGAAAAGTTTACTTTGGGCTCACAGTTTCAGAAGACTCAGTCGATGGTCAGCCAACTCAGTCGCTCTGGGCCTGAGGTGAGGCAGAACATCTTGATGGTAGTGTGTGGCCAAAGGGTGCTGCCCAGGCTCATAGCAACCAAAAAGCAGAGAGGAAGCAGCCAGTGACAGATTTCAATGCCATATCCCTAGTGACCTACGACCTCCATCCATGCCCACATGCCTACAGTTACCAACCAGTAGTGCATTCAAATTATTAAGCCATGAAATGGATTAATCTACTACTTATGAGGTTATATCCCTAATCACTGCCTAAAAGSCCCACCTCTGAATTTTACTACATTGGGGAGTCATGCTTTCAAAACATGCGCTTTTGTGGAGATATTTCTAGATCCAAACTATAACCCATAATGGATAAACTAAAACCCAAAAGAATTGACATAAAATTAGTCCAGTACCCAAATTTATAAAAACAAGCATCACAGATAAGTTTAATGAGAAAAGAATAAGTAGTATAACATGTGAAGCAGAAAACTTTTGTTCAAATAAAAGAGATCTAAATGCAGAATGAGAAGTCCTTGCTTTATCAGGGGTTGCAATTCTGGAAAGCTATGATGTTAAAACTTTAGTCTCTCAGTCACACTTTCTATTTTTCAGATGTTCAGCAGCCACATGTGGTTAGTGGCTACTGTATTGGGATGGCACAGATGTGGTGTTCTCTAAACTTTCCACCATTGCAGAGTTCTGTTAGGCATCCCTGAGAAAGTCTAGCACATTTCACCTTCTCTTTGTGGACTTCTGAATGACAGGTATTTCCAGGTGAAATAACTGGACATCTTAATGCCTCCTTCAACATGTGGGTCATTCTTCTCAAAGTTAGCTGGAACATAATTTTGCAGTTCTTCTGTTCCTTAGCACTCCCTGAGATTCCCTCTGGCAAAGCTGTCCTCCCTAGACAGCCCCTTCAGGCTGCCCGGCAGCTCACTAAGGCCTCTTTTCCACTTCATCAGAGCTGACTTGCCTCCCTCACTATTCTGTGATTCACCTTTCCTGACTGGATTCTGAACTGTGAACAGATTTCTAGAGGGCATGTTCTAACCTGTTCCAGCCTCTTCTCTGAACCCTTGCTCCTCTGTAGACATAATTAGAGCCTGGTTGATGTTCTTATTTCTGTCATMTCATTATCAATAGTATTGAGACTATTTGACATGTTTTAACTAACAAGTAGTCTCTAAAAGTTGGGCTTAGAACTTACGAATAAACTAGAAGAACATAAAAATAAGGAAGAGTTTAAAGAAAAGCATTGTATGAGGTTCAGAGGGGAAAAAATGAAAAACCAAAGACATTGTGAGGAAGCCAGGAGGTGTGAGACACTACCCTAACTGAAGACCTCACAGATGCACAGAGCTGCTTGGGGAGATGCCTTATGACTGGGTGATGGCTCTTGTTCAGCTGAGACCTCAGTATGACAGAGCAGACATCAAGTAAGTAAGAGCAGATTGTTCAAACCATAATGACTCCAGGGCTTCAGAAGTGAAAAATGAAAAGCAGTGAGTACCCTCAATTAGCTTCTCTTTAGATTAGAAAAGATGAATTCAAGACTATATATTTTTCAGAATTGCATATATAAGATTTATAAGGAGTTTAAATCATCAGGTAAATAAATCCTAAGTTACCTATGAATGGAAATGCAAAATAGATTTTTATTCTATTTAAAACTATTTTGTATTCAAGTAATGGAGACAAGTATCCTGGTGGAGTTAGTGCAAACGACAAGGCAGTTATTGGAGAGCGGGGCACAGGTATTGGAGGTCAGCTGTAGTAAGCACTGAACATCTCTCCTCCTGCTTTAAGCATTTAATCAGCATCTTTAACCAACTTAATTTATGAACGTAACTATGTGTATGACCTCTTGTAATTAACTAGATAAAATTGTTTTGATATCATGTATTATCTCCAGGGTTCATTTTCATGTTATTTCTATTAGTGGAGTCTAGATATTACATGGCTCTAAAAGATTAAAAGTATTGTTCTTCAGCACTTGATAGTGTCTGATGAGATACACACACACACACACACACACACACACACACGTGACTGATAGAAAGCTTCAATCACCCAAGGTTATAATTATGTTTTGTTCCTGGGGGTCTAAGAGATGGTAAGTAATAGGTGAGGATTTTTTAATGTTGCTTCATCCTCCCAAATCCTAGATGTGGTGTGATGGTCATTTCTACCTTGAGTTTCCTGAAAAATTTAAATGAATTTAAATTTAAATTGCATATTCCAAAACAAACTTTTTTTTCTCCTGTCACAGACATGGACCTTTACTATAGAGCCTTCCTTCTACAGATTGCCTTATGTAGTTTCATCTCTACTATATATTTTTATATTTTAGAAAAGAAAAAGAAAAAATAGAAAGCCCCTCCAGTATCACTGAAGTGTGTAGTTGGTTTCTGCTTCCAAAGCCTGGGGGTGGGTGAGCATGAAAGCAGGGCTTCACTTGAAGCCAAGTGGCTGTTTCAGTCTCTTTTCTGTAAAATATTCCCAGTCCATAAAGTGCTTGCAAGTAGTAAGTGTTGTTTTACCATTTCATGTCCRAATTCCTGGTTCCCACTCAGCCTGCTATTTTGAAAGGAAGTAAACAGTCTCCTTAAAGTACGTTGTCGATGTCTTTTTTGTATGGCTAACAAGGGCAACAGTGACACCAAGATATCACTAAAGAAAATTGGGAATAGTGTATCATTTTAATAAATCAGGTAGACCTGTGAGTACTTCCCAAATAAATTTCAGACACATTTATTTTAGTTTTCATTAAAATAAGGAAATAACCGTAATATTCAAGTCTGTCTGGAATTCATGCAGAATCTACATAAACCATTATTTGAGAGAACTTGCATTAGTTCTTATCTTTATGAAAATAGAACTTTTGGCACTCAGTTATCACACAAATTACATTTTATTTGAATGAATTTACTGTGAATAAAAGGAGTAGGTATATTTGTTTACAAAGAAATATTCAAAGATGACAAGAAGGTCCAGGATTAGACATGAAGTTGTTTTTTCTAAATAAGTAAAACACAGACCCTGGAAGATTTTATCTATCTCTGTGTCATAAAGCATACAAAAGTAATTTACTTGTCACAGTGTGAGAGCCACTGGCCCCAGTGCGCATATGTGGGGGCAGGGCACATATTGCCAATGCATCTGTAAAGGAGCAGGTGCTGCCCAGAGATGGGGCGATGGGACGTCCAATGAAGCAAAGATGACTTTGGGTGCTCCTTATGCAAACCTAGCATAATTCAGCCTCTATTTGTAATTCTTGTGAATCGTTTTGTTAGCTCAGATGGAAAAGATGGAAATTATTTCAGATGTTTTCTTCTTTTTTATCTGTTCCTGTGTGTGAGACAGAAAGAGAAAGTGTGTGTGTGTGTGTGTGTGTGTGTGTGTGTGTGTGTGTGTATTCATGTTCAAGGCTTTAGACTGGCCTGAGTTGGACATCCAGACCTGCCTCTTACTGTGTGATGTGGAGCAGTGGCAGATTGCCCCCCTATTCTTAGTTTAAGTTCTCTCATCTGTGAATGGGAGCTTGTTGCAGTAGGAAATGTCAAGTTCTGTGAGATTACAACAGATCTAAATCTTTACTCACTAAATAATACAGTATCACGCTGCTCAAAATATGACTGCATAAAATATAGAGAAACAAAATAATAAAAGGAGGTTTAACACATCCATTGCAAACAAGGGTTTATTAAATAGGCCAAAAAGACACACTGATGTACAGATTCTCAATAGCCTGCTAAAAGAAGACTGACTAAAAGMTATAGATCAAGCAAAATCAAAATAAATCTGCTTAAAAGCAATTTGCAAAACTTGAGTGTTAGGCTATAAACAACTCAATAAATTCTCAAAATGAAAACAGTTCTTACCCTTTCTCTGATCAAAATGCATTAAGAAAAAAATGCTGAGAAAAAAATCATATCACCTAGAATATATGGAAAAGTATTCATAACTGTAGCTTTAATAATCATAGGCTCAAAAGAGAACCTAACTTTGAATCTCAGAAAATCTAGATGTAGTGCAATGAGAACACTAAGGAGATAAATTTTGGGGGCATTACTCTGTGTAGGTTTAGAAAAAATTTACATTCCACTCATTTAAGACAAAATGGAAATATAATATTAAACTCAAAAAGCTCTAAGAATTTTTTAAATGATTACAAAAATGCAAGGAATACCTAATTAAAAGATAAAATGAATGGATTGCAACACTCAGACTAAAAAAAGGAAGTAAATTATTAAGACCATTCAAGAGTTGGTCCTTTGAAAC